GCACATGTCACTCCGCTGCTCATCCGTTTGCACTGGCTGCCAGTTGCTGCTCGCATCAAATTCAAAGCTCTGATGTTTGCTTATAAAGCGACTTCTGGCTTTGCTTCTTCTTATCTGCTCTCACTTCTGCAGATGTATGTGCCCTCCAGAAACTTGCGTTCTGTGAATGAACGTCGCCTCGTGGTTCCATCCCAAAGAGGGAAGAAATCACTTTCCCGAACTCTCGCATTCAATCTGCCCAGAACGGCAGAGTCACTCGCTGTCTTCAAGAAACCACTAAAATCTCAACTATTTAGTCTCCACTTCCTTACCAATCTGCAATTGCTTCTCTGGCTTCGCTAACTGTACTACAAAAAAAAAAAAAATTACTATTGTTTTGCTTCTTAGACTTTACAGACCTGAAACTTGCCTACAGCACTTCTTCATTGTTGCTCTTATATTTGTGTAAATTGCTTCCTTGTCCTCATTTGTAAGTCACTTTGGATAAAAGCGTCTGCTAAATGACTAAATGTAAATGTAAATGTAGTTGCCGCAGATTTGTTCCATGCAGAAACTCGGTGTTGAGCAGTCTTTATGATTAAAGCGCTGTTAGTAGTGAAACCGGTTAATCGTTACATCCCTATACAGATGACGCATGCATCGTTAAATAGCGGCTGTAAAACTATACAAAGACCACTCTGACACAATCTGACACATTAGGAATATTGATTCCTCAACAGTAGTCTCTGCTTGGTTTATGCGAGTCGTACATGTACGGCTGCATGCTGGTCCTCTCACTCATGTTGCTTCTCTCCATCTGCCTGTCTGTTGCCATACACAAAATGGGAGCTCTTGGCTCCGCCCCCTTGTTAAGTTGGGCGGGAAGTCGAAACTAATTTTCATGTGAAGCAACACACTCATAAAACAACGACCTGTGTACACGCCACCAACATCACACTCTAACACATTATAATAAACAAATCTGAACTGTGTTTTGAACTGAAGCTAAACTGGCACACTCAGAAGAACCATATTATATGGTGTATATATATTAAATATATTAATATTACATCTCAAAAAAGGGTGAACTAGGTGCCCTTTAATGTGCATCATTAAAGTGCATCATTAAAATACAGCGGGGAAAATAAGTATTTGACTCATCAGCATTTTTATCAGTAAGGGGATTTCTAAGTGGGCTACTGACACAAAATTCCTACCAGATGTAGCCATCAAGCCAAATATTGAATTCATACAAAGAAATCAGAACATTTAAGTATACAAGTTGAGTCATAATAAATAAAGTGAAATGACACAGGGAATAAGTATTGAACACATGAAGATAACAAGGTGCAAAATGGCATAGAAAGTCAGGAGATCTGTCAGTATTGAGAGAAAAACCCTGCTACCTATCAGTACTAATTGATATCAGCTGCTTTAGTCCTAATTGATGGCCTATAAAGGCTTCTCATTACTCAGGAGGCACACAGGAAAGACTTCATGATGGGTAAAAACAAAGAACTCTCTCAAGATCTGCGTAGTCTTATCGTTGAAAAGCATTTTGATGGGAATGGTTATAGGCGCATTTCCAGAATGCTGAATGTTCCTGTGAGCACTGTGGGGGCTATTATCCGGAAATGGAAAAAGCATAAGTTCACCATAAACCGGCCATGATCAGGTGCTCCATGTAAGATCCCTGTCCGAGGAGTCCAAAGAATAATCAGGAGAGTTCTCCAAGAGCCAAGAACCACTCGGGCAGAACTTCAGGAAGACCTCGCATCAGCGGGTACTATTGTTTCAAAGAAAACTATAAGCAATGCACTGAACCACCATGGCATCCATGCACGCTCACCACGCAAGACTCCATTGCTGAACAAAAAGCATGTTGAGGCCCGGTTAAAGTTTGTGAAACAGCATTTGGAGAAGCCTGTGGATTATTGGGAAACTATAGTATGGTCAGATGAAAGCAAAATTGAACTTTTTGGCAGTCATTCTACACATCATGTTTGGAGAAGAAATGGCACTGCCCACCACCCCAAGAACACTATACCAACAGTTAAGTTTGGGGGTGGAAGCATCATGGTTTGGGGCTGCTTTTCAGCAAGGGGTACTGGCAGACTTCATATTATTGAAGGTAGGATGAATGGAGAAATGTACCGGGAGATTCTGGATAAAAATCTGCTGCCATCTACCAGAAAGCTGAAAATGAAAAGAGGGTGGACATTTCAGCAAGACAATGATCCCAAACACAAGGCCAAGGAAACAATGAAGTGGTTTCAAAGAAAGAAAATCAAGTTGCTTGAATGGCCCAGTCAATCACCTGACCTAAATCCCATAGAAAATCTATGGAGAGAACTGAAGATCAAAGTTCATAAAAGAGGCCCAAGGAACCTTCAAGATTTAAAGACCGTTTGTGTGGAAGAATGGGCCAGAATCACTCCTGAGCAATGCAGACGACTGGTCTCTCCATACAAGAGGCGTCTAGAAGCTGTGATCACCAACAAAGGCTTTTCTACAAAGTATTAAGTAAAGTGTGTTCAATACTTATTCCCTGTGTCATTTCACTTTATTTATTATGACTCAACTTGTATACTTAAATGTTCTGATTTCTTTGTATGAATTCAATATTTGGCTTGATGGCTACATCTGGTAGGAATTTTGTGTCAGTAGCCCACTTAGAAATCCCCTTACTGATAAAAATGCTGATGTGTCAAATACTTATTTTCCCCGCTGTAAATGATGTGTATGTGGATTTGGGATTTTCCCATAGACTGTTTGCAAAGTGTACAGATCATTTTGGACATGCCACTTTTTGGGCAAAATTAAATAAAAGCTGAGAATTTTTTCCCACAATGATGTATCTTGTACATCATGTTAATATCTTTAAGGAGACTTTAAGTCAGAATCTGCCAGGGGTATGAATAATTTTGGGCTTGACTATATATATTAGGGATGCAACAATACAGTTAGCCCACGGTTCAATACATACCTTGGTTTTTTAACACGGTTTTCGGTTCGATTCTCATGGCTTGACACATGTTTTTTTTTATTCTATAGGCAATTGGAACAGTAAAAGGTTCGGAAGAACAAAAAAATAAAAATGATTTATTGCAATACTCACTTTGTTTTACTTAAAAGCCAAGAAAACTACAGTAGTTCCTAGTGTATTGTATATAAAAAATGAACACTAAAATCTCACAGCTGCTGGTAGCCCATGTACAAACTGGGGAGCAGCAAATGAATCTCATTGTGTTTTGTTTGATAACAGAGGTGTTAATGTAAAAATGCACAGATCTGTAATGAAGCATTCGACTACTTTAGTAACCGTTTGTGTTCATTTAAGAGAAAATTAGTTGTGTTTAAAATAAAACATGCAGGACAGAGCAAAAAAAAGAAAAAAGAAGCACTTTTCTGACGGTCCCTTACTGAGAGCTCCGCTCAGCATGAGCTTTCCTGGCTAAACGCATATTACGAGGGCTTAAACGGAGCAGTGCTCGTAATATCGAGCGGAATAAAGAGAAAGACAGCTGTGAAACATAACCAGCTTTGTCTTTTTGTAGGAAACACACTTTAGATCATTTTAGGGTAAGAGTTTTTTGAATTATTGCTGTCTAACACTGAATGTGTCAGGAATATCGATAACAAAATCAAACCATACTCATTTCTGGCGCCCCCCTGGATGTACAGCGCCCTTAGCATTTGCCTATATGCCACAGTCCAGCCCTGGTCCTCACCGCAGATTTGAAAGACGCCGGTGCTTTCTCGTACTGTTGTCTGACTTCACCGGCGCTTCCTCATACTGTTGCCCTAACCTCAGTTCACCGCCGCTCGCCATGTTAATAGTGCAGTGGTGGTTAAGCGCCCCTAACTTTAGAGCACAGTGATTGGATATTTACTGACCATGGTCACCACCCATCTTGAAAAGCTTGCCCCCTCACATATACTAATGTGCCACAAACAGGACATTAATATCACCAACCATTCCCATTTTATTAAGGTGCATCCATATAAATGGCCCACCCTGTATACAAACACACACACACACACACACACACACACACACACACACACACACACACACACACACACACACACACACACACACACACACACACACATATATATATATATATATATATATATAACAAAACAAATCTACTATTTAGATGTGATCTTGTTTTCCACATTAATTTTACCAGGGTAGAATTACATGCACACTGTTTGAGTGTGTATTTTCATGGCTCGTCTCATCACAGATCATAAATGATAGATGCTGCCGTTAGTTGCTTTTGTTTGTTTCTTGACATTTAATGTATTTAAGCACTATTAAGTTGTTTTGAATTCTGTACTAATTAAATTGCCCGTCATAATTCAAAAACAGCACAAACATAATTCATTTACAGCAGAATAATTAACTTGTGGCCTGCTGATGTTCAGCATATGATTATTCCATTACTATGATTTTACCTTGATATATAAGCTCTAATAAAGACAGATATGTTCCTGAGTGTAATCCAACACCGCCCCCTGCTGGACACACTGCTCCTGCACACACACTCTGTTCACTAGTGCCGTTTAACAGGTCAAGCATCACTACTAATGTGCTCATAATACACATATATGAGAAACATACACACACACATGTTAGTATTGGTGGTTAATGAGGACTCTTCATATGCGTAATGTATTTTACACAGTATGGCCCTCCCCCTAAACCCAACCCTCACAGCAAACCTGTGGATAATTAAATCAAGAGACCCCATTAAGGAGGATTTTTACATTATAAGGACACAAAGGATGTCCTCATAATGTTGTAATGCCATCATAGCCATGTCATTACACAAAAACATACACACACACACTGACACTCTTACTCTTACACACACTCTTACATGACACACAGACTATTATTAACAGTAGAGTAGGTCTCCATCTGCGTGTCGCTCTGTCCTTCATCTTGAGTGTGTTTTCTCCTGAAGGACTCACTGTGCTCTTCTCTTGTGTGTGTGTGTGTGTGTGTGCAGGTTTTGGGGACACCGTCAGAGGAGACGTGGCCAGGTGTTCACTCACTGCCGCACTTCAAACCAGGTAAACATCATCCTGTGCATCTGAGCGTCAATCACACACACTCGAACACTCTCACACACACTAGAACACACTCAAACACACTCACACACACACTAGAACACTTGCCCTTGAGGACAGTCAAATATAATGTGAGCGAGTAGGGTTATAGTTTGTGTAATATTATTGGATTGCAGGTAATGAGGCACGTGAACTCTAACATGTTTCCCTGAACACCTTTATGAGTTTCTTTTCACTGTTGAACACAAAACACAATATTCACTATAATAATGGCTGTTTCTTTTCTTCCAGCATTCTTCACAATATCTTCCTTTGTGTTCAGCAGAAGAAAAAAAACTCAAACTGTTCAAATGAGAAAATGAAGATTTTTATTTTATTTTTAGGGTGAACTTGACCCTTTAAACACAACATCTTGCTATAGTGTGTGAGTGAGTGTGTAGATCTGGGTTTGCTGTATGCAGTGTGCTAGTGTAGTGCTCTAGAAATGTGGACACACTGCCCTCTGCTGACTGACATTGTACACTACAGCAGTGGTTCTCAAAGTGGGGGTCGTGGGACAATGAAGGGGTCGAGGGCATACAGTAGGTTTGTACTTGACATTGGTGGGGACGGGTGAATCAAACAACCCCCAAGAATGAACATATATGTATAAAGTTAAAGCCAAAATGATTAGACCCCCTGAATTATTCACCTCCCTATTTATTTTTCCCCCAATTTCATTTTAGCAAAGACTAAATCTTTGCTATGATGACAGTAAATAATATTAGACTAGATATTCTTCAAGACACTTCTATACAGCTTAAAGTGACATTTAAAGGCTTCACTAGGGTAATTAGGGTAACTAGGCAGGTTAGGGTAATTAGGCAAGTTATTGTATAACAAGGGTTTGTTCTGTAGATTATCCAAAACAAATATAGCTTAAAGGGGCTAATAATATTGACCTTTAGATGCATATTGTTGCATTCTTTATATTTAACCAATTAGTAACACACATTTTTAGATCAGACCGCTGTTGTTCAATGACTTGCCTAATCACCTTAACTTTACACTAATTAACCTAGTTAAGTATTTAAATGTCACTTAATAAGTCACTGAATACAAGTGCTTGAAGAATATCTAGTCTAATATTATTTACTGTCATCAAGGCGAAGATAAAGTAAATCAGTTATTAGAGATGAGTTATTAAAACTATTATGATTAGAAATGTGTTGAATCTATCTGCTCTTTAACAGCACTAGGGAATGTTAGAAAAATTAAAATACATAAAGGTTTCAACTGTACATAAACTATTACTTATAAATTGATAGGCAAGTGCAAACAATAATGATAATAAAATAATAAAAATAATAATACTTATAAAAATAATAATAACAAATTATATCAATGTAGTGTTTTGTCTTAATTTGATTGATTGTTATTGTTTACATTCTCCTGTGATTTGTCTGTGTAGTTCAGTGTTGTGTCAGCAGATGGCAGTGTTTACTGCATTTCATCTGTGACGGATCTTTAATATCCCTACTGAATGAGAGGACACGTGTCTTGAGAAAGTACTGTAGTAAATACTATAGTGTTTTTGAACCATACTATAGTAAATTATTGCTCCAGCATACTGCAGTATTAGCTATAGTCAATTGATAAACTGTAATAACTATACTATACTATACTATACTATACTATACCATACTATACTATACCAATGGTTCTCAAAGTGGGGGTCGGGACCCCCCGAGGGGTCGCGGGACAATGAAGGGGGGTCGCCTGGTGGTTTCCAAAAATCTATTTATTTTTATTAAACCATAAGAATTACCATATTTTATCCATAACCTTCTGAAGAGAAAAAATAGTCGTATATACCATATATGGTTACTATAGTAGCTTATAGTTACTACTTCTATTGGATTGCAACCCCTCGGGTAATTCCATTGTATTAACGACACAGCAATAGCATCAGATGTAGCAGATTTCATAACACCTGGTTAAACTTTGTGGCCCATTTCCAGCTCTCATACATTAAAAAAATTAAAAGAAGAATAGACTTGGGTCTATTGGTGTGTGTGCGCCATTGCATGCAAGGTTTCTGTATTTATAACCACCTCAGAGGATATAGGGGGTCGCGAGTCACTGGCATTGACATTTTGGGGGATGCGGCCTGAAAAGTTTGGGAACCCCTGAACTATACGATACGATACTATACTATACGATACTATACTATACTATACTATACTATACTATACTATACTATACTATACTATACTACAACTGCTGTGTATTGTTGTGTAATATATATCATAGTTGTCAAAAGCTACAGTATTGTGTCATTTGTTTATATTACAGTAGTTCTTGTGTTACTGTAGCAACTGTAGAATCACCACACCAGAATAATTCAAGTACTTTATATTACAGTGTATCCGAAAAGTATTGATAGCGCTTCACTTTTTCCACATTTGTTTATGTTAAAGCCTTATTCCAAAATGGATTAAATTAATGTATTTCCTCAACATTCTACACACAATCCCCCATAAAGACAATGTGGAAAAATTTGTGCACATTTTTTCAAAATAAAAAAGCTGAAAAATCACATGTACATCAGTATTCACAGCGTTTGGCGTGGAGCTCTAAATCGAGCTCAGGTCCATTCTGTCTCCACAGATCATTCTTGAGGTGTTTCAGCAGCTTTATTGGAGTTCACCTGTGCTCAATTCAGCTGATGGACATGATCTGAAAAGGCTACACCTGTCTATATAAGGGCCCAGGGTTAACAGTGCATGACAAAGCGCAAACCAAGCATGAAGACAAAGGAATTGATTGTAGACCTCCGAGACAGAATCGAGGCACAAGTCTGGGGAAGGTGACAGAAACATTTCTGTTGCTCTGAAAGCTCCAATGAGCACAGCGGCCTCTTCCTAGACCACCAGGACTCTTCCTAGAGCTGGCCGGCCATCTAAACTGAGGGATTGGGGGAGAAGGGTCTTAGTCAGGGAGCTGATCAATAACCCGATGGTCACTCTGTCTGAGCTCCAGCGTTCTTCTGTGGAGAGAGGAGAACCTTACAGAAGGACAACCATCTGTGCAGCAATCCACCAATCAGGCCTGTGTTGTAGAGCGGCCAGACGGAAGACACACCCTGCCTGGAGTTTGCCAAGGTATCAGAAGGACTCTCAGAGCATCAGAAACTAAACTCTCTGCTCTGATGAGACTCAAACTGAACTGTTTGGAGTGAACGCCAGGCGTTACATTTGGAGAAAAGCAGGCAGCGCTCATCAGCAGGCTAACAGCATCCCTACAGTGAAGCATGGTGGTGTTGGCATCATGCTGTGGGGATGTGTTTCAGCAGCAGGAACTGGAAGACTAGTCAGGATAGAGGGAAAGATGAATGCAGCGATGTACAGAGACATCCTGAATGAAGACCTGCACAAGAGTGCTCTCCACCTCAGACTGGGGCGACGCTTCATCT